GTACAGACAGAGCCAGGGGGCGACATGAGTGTCAGGCGACACCTGCCTGCTGTCTCCATTCTTTTCCAACTGAGATCAGAGTCCTCTGCCCATAACAGAGAAGGCAGAACCTCCTCTGGGGTTTAGGCAGTTGTAAACATCTCATAACTTCCTCCTAAGAATTCTTTACGGAGCCATGATTGACAACAGAGGTTCAGAGAGGGAAAGTAATCAGCCTCAAGTATAGATCAGCAGAGCCACTATGCCAAAGGAGCCTGGCTGAGTGAGGCCCTTACCGTGACCCCTGCCTCCTCCATCTCCAGGAAGAAGCTCTCTGGAGGGAACTTGTTCCTCCCAGCCTCACCTGCTCCGGGGAGGTGGAACAACCTCTTACTTGGATTCCCGCTGTCCATTCCACACCCTGGTCAAGCCCCAGAAGCACACTCTCTACATTTGCAATCCCAGCCCAAGGGTGTACACAACGCTTCTCCTGAGGTTTTCCTAGCCCTCCTGTGCCAGGCCCACATTCAGGAATTGGAAGTAGCAACACAAACACAATGAGTGTGGGAAATCATTAACTACCTCCCAATGGTCAAGCATGCAAACTCCAAGTCAATCCAGTTCCGATGGCCTCCACATGTGTCTGGGGACAGGAAGGGTGACTGTCCCACAGACAGAGCATCTGCTAGCCCCAGGTCTGGAGCCGCACACTCAAGGTGCACCTTTCCGCTCTTCACCCTTGAGGCAAGTGCTACGGCCACACTCACACAGGCCCCAAAGACTGGCGCCCCTTCCACCTCTCCCTGTCTCCACTCCACGTACCCCCCGGGTTCCCGAGCCCTGGAGACCCTGGCCCTCACCCCTCCAAAGCCAGGATGAACCTTCCGGTCGCCCTAGGGCTGTCTACCTGGGTCCATGTCAAGTCAGAGGAACATGCCCATCCACAGTCACAGGTGGCAGGATGGTGACGGAGCTCCCGTTCAGCTGGGACCCCACCCCACATAAAGGAGGCAGCCCCCCCACACAGATCCACAGACAACCAACGCCTCACAAAAGCAGCAGCCCCAACACCTGTACAAGATTTATACTCCCAAGATTGTCATTTTCTCTCATATGTTCAAGGATGGGAACGTTTTCTTCTCTTGTTTTTTAAGGAAGCGCGTGGCAGCGTAGAGAGAGCCCGGACCTGGCCTTGGGTTGGGTTTGGCCGAGCTCCACCGGCTCTACCACTTAACAGCTGCGGGGCCTTGGGCAAGTCAGGAGATTAGGTGTTGGGGTTTTTCCTTCCTCCCAAACCCGCCTCCTGGAGGCTGGCACAGACCAGGTCTTGGTGATAACACTTAAGATGAAAGGAGGGACGGAGATTTCTTTTCAACCTAATCAGGAACTGAGCTGTACACAGAGGCGGGCAGTCCCGGCAATGCCAGATGCTGATTGTCTAGCAGATGCTCTGCATGTGGAATACGCAGCACCCACCCCGCCCCACCCAGACTGGAGTCCAACGGGACTGACAACCCGACAACCCGCCCCGGAGCTGGGAGAGGAGGGCAGCTCTGGGGTGGGTGGCGAAAGGAGGTAGGGGGGTTTCCAGGACCATGGGAGACAGAAGGAGAAGGAGAGAAGAAGGGAGGGAAGATGCCAGTGGGGAAGAGCTCCCCTGCAGTTGTGAGGAGGGTGGGATGGAGTGGAGAAGTGGGAGGAAGCCAAGAAGTTCACCCAACCCCAGCCCTCTCTGGGCAACGCACGGCTGGAAGCTGTGATGTCAGCCTGAACTAAGAGAGAGAGCGCTCCTGCCGCTCCCGGGCCCCGTGTGGGTCTGACCTCCACAGGGAAACTAGGCCGCCGGCCGCGTCCAGCCCGCATCCGTGTATCTACACATCTTCCAGCTAAGAGCGCTTTCCACATTGCACAAAGATGGCTGAGAGGGGGAAGACGGACAAGAGGAAGAGAGGAGGAAGAGAGGAGGAGGGGACAAAGAGGAGGAAGAGAAGGAGGAGGAGGAGGAAGAGGAGGAGGAGGAGGAGGAAGAGGAGGAGGAGGAGGAGGAGAGCATATGCAGCTCTCAAAATCTAAAAGGTGACTGTCTAGCTCTTTACAGAAAAGGTGTTCAGACCCCTGGAGTGTAGCCCTCCCCACCCCCACTGCATTAGGAGCGACGTTCGAGAACTGCAGAGAAGTGTCACTCTGAGGGCAGGACAGTTACTTGTTTCATTCTCCACTGGATGCCCAGTGCCTAGGACAATGTCTGGCTCGTTAAATCATGCTGTAAATATTTTGGGGATAAAAGAAGGACTAAATGAATGAGTGATGTGTCGGAAAACACTGGTAACCTATCAAGTCCATGTGTGGCAGGGACAAAAATACGTATTCTTTTAAAATCTGCTGCACCTTCTTATTCTGGAGGGGAAGCCGGCCTCTGTCCTTGGACAAGGTCCTCCCTGCATTCTGGGAGAGCCAGGTTTGGTCCTACTTTATGGGGAAGCAAGCAAATCTCACCCCAGGGGGCAGAAGCTGCTTAGCCTGTTCCGCAGTGCTCCTCAGCCAGTGCTCCTCAGCCTGTAAGGTGCATACAGATCAGATCGCCTGGGGGGCTTATCAGGATGCTGATTCTGAATTAGGAGGTCTATGTGGGTCCCTACAATTTGCATTTCTAACCAGCTCCCTGCTGCTTGTCCCCAGACCACATTTTGAGGATAGCAAGGATGTCAAAGCTCTCTGCCTCATGGGCAGGGGCATATCTGCCAACACCAGGATGCCTCTAATTTCCTTTCTGCTTCCTGTTGTGGGGTTCAGAAATATGGTGGGGGTCCCCTTAACTCAGAGGAGAGAATTTCTCCAGGGATTGCTGACTCGGAGACAAACAGCCTTCAATGATCCTGCAGCCTCGGCGGCCAGTAGAGAGATGACCTGGAGGGGAGCCCTCTGAAGAAGTGAAGCCAGTGGGTTCTGGAATGGTACCATCTGACACTAGCTTTTCTTCTCTTTTCTGTGTCATAATTCCCTTATGCTCTCATCAGGCCCTAGAGAACACTGTGACACGGCCGTTCTCGTATGAACAGTGCTTACAGAACTGAAGGAAGAGCCTGTGCCAATGCTTGGGGCAAAGCAGACCAATGAAAACTGTAAAAGCCCAGAGAAGAGGCTGAGCAATGAATAGGTATGGTGAATATAGCCTTGGAGCACCAGTCTGGAGGTCCAGGTGACAGGTGGCACCCAGGACATGTCAGCCTCCCACAAGCATCCTCAGCAGTATTCGGGGAAGGTAGCAAATCTTCTGTCTTCACATTGGGTGGAGGTTCTGACTAAGCCAGTCCAGATTTAAAGAAAATGATGGCTCTCCTGGGGCTGGAGAACTTGGGGACACTTAGGTAACATGTTGGAGCAAGATTATGTCATACCTAACGTCCATTCTCATCTTCTCTCTCATGCTAACAGAACCCCAAATTTTTAGCTGGGACATGGCTACCCAATGTAGAATATTGGCTACACTGCACAGCCTCCCTTGCAGCTAGGTGTGGCCATATGACCAAGCTCTGGCCAATGCAACACAAGTGGAAATCACACAGGCAACATTTAGATCATTCCTTTCAAAGAAAAAGGTGTGCCCTTCCCTTCCCCTCTTGCCTTTCCTATTGACTGAAAGGTGGATGTGGCCATGAGCCATCTTGGACCTGGCAAACAAACACTGGCCACGGCAGAGCCACGAGATAGAATGAGCCTGGGTCCCTGACACAATGGAGCCATTATGTCAACCCATTGCTTACATCTGGACTTACATGAGAGCAAAATAAACTGCCTTGTTTTAGCTACTATTTCTTTGGGATTCTGTGTAACTTAAAAATACATATTCAATTCTGAAAATATTTGGAGCTTGAAATGACATGTCATCATTTCGGGGAGGATGGGACCAAACAAACCTTTCTTGGTCACCTCAGTGCTTAATAGTCCATAAATATTTAGTAAGTACTCTAAGGATGCAGCACTATACAAGACACACAAAAAGTCCTGTCCTAATAGAGCTTACATTTAGTATTATGTCACAATCTTCATAACCACCCTGTCAGGGAAATGTTGTTATCTGCATTTTAGAGATGAGGAGATTAGGATTGAGGGATTACCAGTTGCTGAGGTCACACTCAGGATTGAGGTCTACCTCATGCCAAAGCCAACCCTCACCACTAATCCAGTGGTTTCCAAACTGTGCTCTGTGGAGCCCCTAGGGTTCCACAGAGGTTTGTCAGAGGTTGTCATGGATGAAGGGTTATGACTACGAGGGACTGACAGGAAGGTTTTTCCCATGAGCCCAAGAAAAGCTGGGATTAGTTCAGAGAGAGATCTGAGGAGACCTCAAAGTCAGGGATCAGGGACAACCAGCTCTTAGGGTGAACCAATAAGGGAAGAGCAGGAGGACGAAGAGAAAGAGACAGATGGTGCCAGAGACCAGAGGCCCCCACGAAACCTGTGCTCTCAATACGCTCGAGGGTCCTCAGACTAACACCCCCTCCCTGGGAATGGGGGAAGGGGGCCTCAAAATGCAAATCGAGCTATAAAAAAATAAAGTTTGTAGCATTTTAGAAAACATATCTGAGTTTGTGTATAGAGATTCATATCACATACACACAGACATATCAAAGGAAAGTGACTTAACAAAGAAATACAACAATGTGTTAGCTGGGGCCTTCCCTGGGTGATAAAATTCTGGGGAATATTTTCCAATGTTTTTCTCTATATTTTCTGGATTTTCGCATGTTCCTCGATGAGTATTTTATAAGCAAAAGAAAAAAATAGGAAAGTTTGTTTGTTTTGGGGTTTTTTTAAAGAGGCAAAAAGGAGCTGTTCCCGTAACTGGATTGTTCGAGTAGATCTAATAAACCCATATTACCAGAAACGCTCATTTGGCTGTTTCCAGTCTGAAAACAGAACACTTGGTTGTCCCAGCTGACATTTCCCGAGCAAGGGGAGGAGTTCTTTGCAGGGATAAATAAGCCTGAGTAGCCTGGACAATCTCACACTCCGGGGGCCAGACGGCAGGATTGGAATCCACTAGCTGCACCCAGCTCTCCGAGGCAGGTAATCCAGGATGCTGGTGTACTGGGAGCAAAGAAATCTGCTTTTCCAGGGTGGTTCTGGCCCTTGGCCTGGAGCCTGTGGGATGCGTGTGGGGAGGGAGCCAGGTGGAAGTGTGCCGGAGCGCTGGGGACAGTTTCAGTGCCCTCTGAAGGCCAGTCTTCTCTCCGGGTCTGAGTTTTCACACCTGCAAAGGGTGGACGGGTCACCAGGGCTTCTACGGTCACTTCTGCCTCGACACTTCTGGATTCTGATTCCAGCTAGCTGTGTACCCCCATACAGTTGTGTATGGACCCTCAGGATCACAAGTCCCTCCCCCGAAGGCAGGAGGTGCCTCCCCTTGCCTGGCAAAGGGCGCTGCTCTCAGAACCTGCTGCAGATGGAATCATTGCACTGGGTCCCTCTGGACAGAGGCCACAGGGTCTCCATGGGGGCTCCCTGGGGCTCCGCTTCCCCTCCAGGCCCCCGGCCGAGCAGACAGGCAGGCTGCGTCTGCCTAGCAACAGAGAAGGCAGGACTGCTCGGAAACAGCCCGCCAACTTGCGCAAACTGAAAGCCCTTTTTCTTCAGAAATAATTTTGGGGAAAAAAGTGTTTAACTCTTTTCCAAAGAAATAGTTGCATCAGCCCAAGAATAAACAAACAGTTGAGGCAACTGAGCTGCCTCTGTTCCTGGGCTTGTCTGGAGGCGTGTCCACAGGCCTCCATGAAAATCAGCTGACTCCCTCTCCTCCCACAACCTGTCTCTCCCCTCCCTTCCCCGCCTCTTCCTCTCCCCCCCTCCCCTCCCCGCCCCATCACACAAGCTGCTCTTTTCTCCTCTGAACGCTGGGACTGAGTGGGCAGAGGCTAAAGGTAAATAATCCTATTTGCTGCAGTCTCTGGCTTTGAACTCATCCTCCCTCCTATCTTTCCTGCAATAGCTCCATCCCATCTCCCCATGGAATCACAGCTCTGGCTTGTAGTTTCTGAGATGGGGGCATGTGGGAGGAGATAACACCCCTGGAACCTGTATTGTGAGCCTGGCACCTTCGTTGTACCGAGATGGGAATTGAGGCTCAGAGAGGTTCGGCCACTTGCTTATCACCACACAGCAATCACAAGTGGCCAAAATGAAATCCTAGTGCAGGTCTCTGAGACTCTGAAGCCCACACTGCTTTCTCCCCACTAGGAGGCCTTTCCAGGCTTATAGCGGAAACAACTACCACATGTCAACCTGGCAGGGGCTGAAAAGAACATTCCACTTTCCTTTGGTCTTTGCACCAACCCTTATCAGGACCATCTAGGCTCCAGCTAGCTCCTCTCTAGCTGCTTTCTGTGCCCTCTCTTAATGAGCCCTCACTGTGACCAGGCACCACGCACAAGGTCACATGACTTGTCATTGAGAGAGGACCTGCGGTCCCTGACTCGGTCCACGGCTCCTTCCCGGGCTTACACTTGGGGGGCAGACTAGGGATATGAGGGGAAAGGAGTCCCTGCTTTCTAGCCCCCTCTGACCGGCATCCGCTCACCAAGCAGGAGGGAGAGGCTGCGTTCTGACTGGACGGCACCTCACACCCATCTCTAGCTTCCCCACCCAGTAGCCAGGCAAACTGGGCTTCTCACCCCCTCCTGCACTTGCTTGCTGTGTGACCTCGGGCAAGCCCCTTCACCTCTCTGTGCCTAGTTTCTCCATTGGGGAAAATGGCAACAACTACTGTACTTACCTCAAAGGGTGAGAGGGAGCACAGAATGTAGTCATGCACGTTGGGTGCCCAGGAGAGCGCCTACCCACGGGAGGTCACAGAGCTGGCAGAGGCAGAAACCAGAAGGCAGGGCACGTGGGTGGGGGGTCAGTGGGAGGCGGTCAGGGCACCATCTGGCCCTCTGAGACTTAAAGGAGCTTTGCTTTTCAGGGTTGAGGGCAGAGGGAATGTCACCCCTCCTGGCTCTGGGGCTCCTGGTGGCTGGGCTGTGCCCTACTGTCCACTGCCTCCCGGGGGGCGTGCTTGACGGGGAGAATGTGACCCAGGAGGACCAACACAGCAGGACGCCTGCGGACAACCTCAGATTAACCTCCAGCAACATCGACTTCGCCTTCAGCCTCTACAAGCAGCTGGCTTCAGAGACCCCCAGGAAGAATGTCATCTTCTCCCCGCTGAGCGTCTCCATTGCCTTGGCCCTCCTGTCGCTGGGGGCCCGCGGCACCACCCTGAAAGAGATCCTCGAAGGCCTCAAGTTCAACCTCACGGAGACGACCGAGGCAGAAATCCACCAGGGCTTCCAGCACCTTCTGCGTGCCCTCAGCCACCCCAGCAACCAGCTGCAGCTGAGCGTGGGCAACGCCGTGTTCGTCGAGGGTCAGCTGAAGCTGCTGCACAAATTCAGGGACGATGCCAAGTCTCTGTACGCCTCTGACGCCTTCCCCACCGACTTCCAGGACTCCGCCGCCGCCGAGAAGCTCATCAACGACTACGTGAAGAATAAAACCCAGGGGAAAATTGAGGATTTGGTCAAGGACCTTGACATGCACACAGCCATGGTCCTGGTGAATTACATCTTCCTTAAAGGTAAGTGACCAGCTCGCGGTTGGGAAGAGAACAGACCTCTAGTTCCGAGCCTCCAGGGCTATTTCTGTCCTGGCTCAACGAACCGTGTTATTAGGCAAACTGCTATAGAAGGGGGGTGCCCTGGGCTTGTGGGGAGGGGCATGGGCACCGAGGCCCCGCCCTGCCCATAGGCATTGTCTTCTCTTGGGGTTTTCCGAGTTACAGTTTGTCGTTGCAAGACATACCTGCAGATTTGCTCATTAACTCTTTGTCTGAGCCGGAGTGGCATTTTCTATTCTGACTTAAACTTGCCCAGCTACTGGAAGGAAGGAGCTCTTTTGGACACGCTCAGGAGAGGCCTCTGCCAGGGTACACCTTGGAGTGGTTTCTGACCTGGGCATGGTCCAGACCAGGGGGACTCAGTCTCTGGGGAGTCCTGGCGGGGCTGGTGGCTATCTTCACTGGAAGACAGCCTCTAAGGAGCCTGGCTGTCCCAATCTTCTGCAACTGTTCCCTCCTACAACCTTGAGGATGGAAATGGTGTGGTCACCATCTGAGGAAGGTCCTTGGGGGACTCTTTCTCAGATTCTGGTGAGTCCAGTGCCCGATCCCCCTGACAGCTCAACAAATGCAAACCTCAGCCTGTCGCTTCTGAAGGGCGGAGTGCAAGCAGACAGATTCTGCCTTATGGAGCCAGCGGTCCAAAATGGGATGAAAAATAGATAGGGATGCAAGGAATGAGCACTGAGTCGGTGGGTGGTAAGGCACCTAAGAGACGCGAGCTGTGTGGAGACCCAGAGAGAGCCCTGCGCTAGGAGCTCTCAGCTGAGTCCTGGGGCAAGCCCTCCTGGACCTGTGTTTTCAGCCGTAAATGAAGGCGGGGAACTGGATTTCTCTGGAAACTAATCCAGGCCAGACCTGCTGTGTTTGTTCTCTGAGTCTCCTGTGTTTTCCCTTCCTACCACCCTGACTCTCTCCTCCAAATTCTCCTCCCCGGGGACACAGCAGCCACCCTGCTTTCCCTCCTCTCCTGCCTCTAACAATGGGGACGCCAGCAGGGTAGAAAACAAAGTGGGCAGTGGAGGTGGCTACACACTTCCAAGGAAGCCCCAGGTCTCTAATCTCCCCAGCAAGCTCCCACCTACCCACTGAGTGCCCCAGTCCTCCTGGGGGTGCAGACCTGTGCCCCTCTCCTCAGGTGACCTCCGGCCTGCCTTTGGGGCTCCCATGTTGCTCCTTGCTTCAGCCTGCTTCACAAGGCTGTGGGTACACGTGCACATCCCTGCAATGCTGGTGACTATCAAGGTTACTGACATTGCTCCTTTAAGGAGTCAGGGATTTCCCATTTCTCCGCAGGCCTCCAGCCTAACCCCCATCTCTCCCTTGCACTCCCAAATTCCTGTTGGTTTCTCATTTAGCCCAATTAACCAGACCTTTGTTTCATGGCCCCCTTCCCAATCAGGCCCCGCGGGGCTCACCCCCATCCCCAATGGCTTACCCACTTGCCAAGGTGTTTTTGCAAACCAGGGCAGGTCCACCCCTAAGGGGAACTGTGAGGTGGCTGTTGTTATGCTGAGTGTCTTCGGCACTCAGGGAACCCGGGCAGAGGAGGGGTAAGGCAGGGCAGCCCTTGCACTCACAGAGTTCTCCAAATGCCCACTCCACCTCTAGCCAAGTGGAAGACGCCGTTTGACCCTGAAGATACTTTCCAGTCCTGGTTTTATGTGAGAAAGAACAAGTCAGTGAAGGTGCCCATGATGAGCCTTGAGGACCTGACCGCGCCCTACCTCCGGGACGAGGTGCTCTCCTGCACCGTGCTGGAGCTCCAATACGCCAGCAACGACAGCGCCCTCTTCATCCTCCCCGACGAGGGCAAAATGGAGGCCGTGGAGGCCATGCTGTTCCCGGAGACCCTGAGGAGGTGGAGAGACTCGCTGCAGATGAGGTGACGCTCCGCAGGACCGCCTTCCTTCACGCCATCCCCACTCTCATGCCCTACTCCCCAGCCCCTACCACTGGGGCCTCCCTGATGTCCGGGTGGGGTGCAGTGGAGGAGAGCCCGTAGGGACAGGGGGAGTTTGGGGTTACCTTGCCCTTTGCTGCCTGCCTGGCTTTGGGCCTGAATCTTTTTCTTCTCTGAGATGAGGACATCGGAAGGGACGGGGGCTGAGGCTTCCTCTGACTCTAACGTGCTCTAAGGCACAAGGAATCCTCAACACAACCCCGACACTCATGTATGCTCTTGTGCCTCAACTGCTTGAAGGTGGAGGGGACAGATGGAATTGTCATCAGCTGAGGGGTGAGACGGGCTCTGAGAATCAGCTTTGTGCTGGCTATTAGTCATTTGTTTAGTCCTCTGATCAGCATTTGTCGAATAGGTTAATTGAGCACCTACTATGTGCCAGGCACTAATTCAGACCATGAGGGTATGTCAGCAAATAAAACACAAAATCTCTGCCCTCATGGAGCTTACTCTGTAATTGGAGAAGAGAAACAAAAAATAAATATAATAAGTAAATTATTTGGTATGTCAGGTGAGAAATGCGGGGGGTAAAAGGGTAAAAGGATTAAGAGAACTAGACCAGAAGGTAGTTTGTGATTTTAACAGGATGGCTATTAGGTGATATTTGAGCATCAGCATGACAGAAGTGAGGGACTGAGCCACGTGGATATGTTAGGGAAAAGCATTCCTGGCAGAGGGAACAGCCAGTGCAAAGCCCCTAAGGCAGGAGCAAGCCTGGTATGTGCGAGGGTTAGTGAGGCCAGAATGGCTGGAGCAGAGTGAGGGAGAGGGAGAGTTGTGGGAGGTCACCGTCCCCCAGGGGGTGGCTCAGGTTATGTAGGGCCATGCAGACCCCTAGAACACCTTGACTCTCCCTCCTCGGAGTGAAATGGAGCGTCATCACAAGGTTTGGATCCAGAGAGTGAATGATCTGAGTGTTGTTTTAAAAGGCTCACCCCAGATGCTGAGTGGAGAGTAGACTGCCCAGGACAAGCCTGGGGGCAGGGAGCCGGCTAGGAGCCTAACATGGTGATCCAGCCGAGAGCTGGTGGTGGCTGTGTCCAGGAGGGAGGCTCGAAGCGTGAGAAGTGGTCGGGTTCCGGATAAACCTGAGGGTAGAGACGCAGGCTAGGTCATGGAATTCAGGAGACCAATATCAAGGGGAACAAGTGAGGCAGAGGTAGTTCTGGGCCCAGTCCCTGCAGTGGGGCAGAGGGAGGGCATGTGGACAGCTGCGGAGCGGGGAGGTCAGCAGCCCCAGAGTCTCGCTCTCAAGGCTCACAGGTGGCCAGCGTGACGTCGCCCACTCACTGCTCTTCTCTGGGGCTCAGCTCCCTACTGAATGAGGAGAAGTGTCCTTGTCCCCTGTACTGACTGGGCGGTTTTGAGAATCCAGTGGATGTGGAAGGCGCTTCATAAACCACAAAGGGCGAGGGACCTGCCTAGGCGGGAGGCTGAGGCTGCAGCCCTTCCCCAGCCGCTGTCCAGAGCGCCGGACGCCTCCTGAGGCTGCCTGCCTCTCAGCCCCAACTCACTGCGGATCCGAGGAGACCCCCGGGCCCGGGGACCCCACTCTACCCATCCGTGTACTCCCTTCCCAATGCTTTCCTTCCTTTGGCACCAAATAGAACTCACATAGCTGGGGCTCAAAGAGGAGATGTGAGTGGATAGCTTTAATTTACAAAGCACTGAGGAAATATGCCCCTACACGTTCCTGGTCCATGGTGGGTGCTTGATAAATATTTGTTGAATGAATGGATCAACGGACGAATGAGGAAATGAATGAATGACTGAACATGGAGAGGAATAGACACCTTCCACACTCCCACAGGACTCCATGTTTAATGGGAGACACACCTCCTAGTATTTGGCAACTTAAGACCAGACAGATGGTGACAAGAGTCTTAAGGGAGATGTCAGCAAAGAGAGGGAAGCTCGGAGGTGGGAGACGTCGTCTCTTGCTCTAAGAACTCACTGCCAGCCCTGCTCTGAAGCAGAAGTGGCCCCCACCCTCAAGGAGCTCGCCGGGGAGGCAAAATGGGACCTTCACTTGATTGTTTCAGGATCCCCAAGGCCCTTCGAATGCAGCCCCCAGGCCCCTAGCCCCTGCCTGGCCCCTCATCTCTCTCCTGCCCACCCACTAAGGCTGCTTTCCACACTGTGAGCATCCCCCCTTTCTTTCCACCTCCTGCAAGTTCATCCATCTGCCTCCTGCCCTCCTCTTTACCCAGCTAGCTCCTTCTCCTCCTTCGGGACATAGGCTTGATGCCACCTCCTACAGGAAGCCTTCCCACTGCACTGCAAGCTTGCAGGAGGGCCAGCCCAGTGCCACCACAGCCCCCGCCCTGACACACTGCCTGACACGTGTGAGTACTTACAGACGTGAAGGGATAATTAATGTATTAAGAAGAGTAAGCACAAGGGGTCAAGAAACCGAGACAGGAGAACTTACTTCCAGTGAGAAGGGGTGGTTGGAGAGGCAACCAGGGAGACCACGCTGTGAGATGGCAGAAAACCGGGCACTGAGTCAAGCAGATGCTCAGATTTATTTTTCTCATTTCCTAGATGGATAGATGAACTCTATCTGCCAAAGTTTTCCATCTCCAGCAAGTATAATCTGGAAGATGTACTCCCCCAGCTGGGCATCAGGGAAGTCTTCACCAACCAGGCTGACCTGGCAGGAGTCACAGGAGCCAGGAATCTGGTGGTTTCCCAGGTGGGTCTTTCAACTTTGGACAATTCATCTTCTGTGTCAGAGCTTGAATGGTGAAGGCCAGGCAGACGTTTGGGGAATCTTGGATTTGCATAAATAACTGCATTTCTCATTATCCACTCACCCTCCCTGGAACTCCCTCAAGCCCAGGAGAGCTGGGTTACCACCGTGTGGGGGCTGGTCCCCGCCTCCCCTCCAATGTAATGTGACACAGAAGCCCATCGTGGGGAAGAGCCTGGGGTGGAATCAGCAGTGGACCCCATCCCATCCTCCACTTTTTACTGCCTAAGGGGGCAAATAATTAAAGTCCTGTACCCCTCAGCTTTTTCATCTGTAAAACAGGGCTGAGAGTCTTGGGTAGTGTGCAGTGCCCAGCAGAGCAGGTAAGAGGTAATAACAATGGCTATGGGGCAGTTGTGATGGAAATACGCTAAGAGCAGGAGAGAAGAAGACCAGGGACCCTTGCACAGTGTTCCTAGAAGCAGAGTGGTCAGAACACAGGGGCAGCTGGGCTCCTCTGCACCCCCCTTCCAAAGGACATGGTGATGAAGGGACATATGCAGAGTGGCCCGCATGGTCCAGGGATGTGAAGCCACATCCTACGCAAAATAGCCGGGAGCTCCAAGGATGTCTAAGCTGGGGCAGCAGAGATGCTGAAGGCAGTGCCGGCCCGCCCAGTCCAGGGATGTGTCTGCATCAGCTGCTTCGAGGTGGAGGGGCTGCTAGAAAGTTGATTGCAAGATAAATGCCTTGCATGGCCCCTGCCCCTCCCCCTACAATAGTGGGTGTTTTGGGGGCGGCACAGTCTCTGGACTCAGACAGAGAGGGATTCAGATCAGGGTGCGGTACTCTGTACCTCTATGACCCTGGGCAGATCACTCACGGCCTTTGAGCCGCAGTTTGCACATCTGTGCATGCAAAACCGGCTGATGGGGTTGGGAGGAACAAACAAACTGAACACGTTGGACAGCACAGTGACAGCCCGCGGTGGGTGCTTGATAAATGTCAGTCCCCTTAGAGGCGCACAGGCGGGCTGCACACTTCCCTTCCACCCTGTCTCCAGTGGGTAATGTTCTGGTGTCCCCACAGGTGATCCACAGCACTGTGCTCGATGTGGCCGAGGAGGGCACGGAAGCAGCTGCTGCCACAGGAAGCAAAATTACTTTCTTGTCCGGAAAAATGGGCCCACTGACCACTGTGCGTTTCAACAGGCCCTTTCTGTTATTCATAATCAGCAAAGACACCCAGAGCATCATCTTTGGGGGCAAAGTCGCCAACCCCAATCAAGCCTAGAGCTCCCCTCCAAGCGCTGGGCCCTTCACTAAGGAACCGGGCGCCCGGGTCTCTGGGTGTAGCCTGTGCTCCAAGGAGACTTGGGTCATCTCTGAAGCTAAAGAGGATAACACAGACAAGACCACATCTTATAAAGCACGTTAATGATTTCATTTTTGTTCCAGCTTTGTTGGGATATAATTTACACATAACATTGTGTAAGTTTAATGTGTGCAACGTGATGATTTCACACACACACACATACATAGTGAATAGTGTCAGTTAACACCTCCATCACTCCACATAATTACCATTTTGTGTGTGTGTGGTGAGAACGTTTATGATCTACTCTCGTAACAACTTTCAATTATATAATACAGCATTGTTAACCATACTCACCATGCTGTACATTAGCTCCCCAAACTTACTCATCTTCTAACTGGAAGTTTGTACCCTTTGACTGACATCTCCCCATTTCCCCTACTCCCAGCCCCTGGGAACCACCATTCTACTCTGTTTCTACGAGTTCAGCTTTTTCCCATTCCACATATAAGTGAGATCATCCAGTACTTGTCTTTCTCTGTCTGACTTATTTCACTTAGTGTAATGCCCTCAAGGTCCATCCACGATGTCACAAATGGCAAGATTTCCTTCTTTCTCATGGCTGCATAATATTCCATTGTGTGTATATATATACCATATTTTTTTATCCAATCACACTTAGACACTTGAGTTGTTTCCACATCTTGGCTATTGCGAAGAATGCTACAATCAACATCGCTGTGCAAATATCTCTTTGAGACAGTACTTTCATTTCCTTTGGATAAATACCCAGAAGTGGGATTGCTGGATCATATGGCAGTTTTATTTTTAATTTTTTGAGGGACCTCCATACTATTTTCTATAGTGGCTGTACCAGTTTACATCCCCGTCGACAGTGCACAAAGATTCCCATTTCTCCACGTCCTGGCCAACGCTTGTTATCTCTTGTCTTTTTATAATAGCCATTCTAAGAGGTGTGAGGTGATATCTCAGTGTGGTTTTGACTTGCATTTCCCTGATGGTTAGTGGTATTGAGCATTTTTTCAAGGACCTGCTGGCCATTTGTATGTCTTCTTTGGAAAAATGTCTATTCAGGTCCCATGCCCTTTTTTTAATCAGATTGCTTGTGTTTTTTCTAAGTCATATGAGTTCCTTATATATTTTGGATATTAAGGCCTTATCAGAAAATGATTTGCAAATATTTTCTCCCATTTGATAGGTTGCCTTTTCATTTTGTTGATGGTTTCATTTGCTGAAGGTTTTTGGTTTGATGTAGTCCCGCTCATTTATTTTTGCCTTTGTTGCTTGTGTTTTTGGTGCCAATCCAAAAACTCATTGCCAAGACCAATGTCAAGGAGCTCCTTCTCTGTGTTTTCCTCTAGGAGTTTTATGCTTCAGGTCTTATGTTTATTAAGTCTTTAATTAATTTTTTGAGCAGCGTAAGAGAGGAGTCCAATTTCATTCTTCTATATGTGATTATCCAGTTTTCCTGACACCATTTATTGAGGAGACTATCTTTTCGCCATTGAGTGTTCTTGGCTCCCTGGTCAAATATTAGTTGACTGTATATGCAAGAGTTAATCTCTGCGCTCTTGACTGTGTTCCATTTGTCTATGTGTATTTTTATGACAGTACTATACTGCTTTGATTGCTATAGTTTTGTAATACAGTTTGAAATCAGGAGGTGTGATGCCTCCAGCTTCATTCTTCTTTCTCAGGATTGCTTTGAAAAATTAAAAATATGTGGAAATTAAACAACACATTCCTGAACAATTGATCAAAGAAATCAAAAGGGAAATAAAAACCATCTTGAAACAAATGGAAATGGAAATACAACATACTAAAACTTATGGGATGCAACAAAAGCAGTTCTAAGAAGGAAGTTTATAGTGATAAACACCTACATTAAGAAAAAAAAAGATTCAAATAAACAGCCTAACTTTCAAGGAACTAGTAAAAGAAGAACAAACTAATCCTAAAGTTAGCAGAGGGAAGGAAATAACAAAGATCAGAGCAGAAATAAATGAAATAGAAACCAGAAAAACAATAGAAAAGATCAATGAAACTAAGAGCTGGTTTTTTGAAAACATAAACAAAATTGACAAACCTTTAGTTAGTCTAAGAAAAAGAGAAGACTCAAATAAATAAAATCAGAAATGAAAGAGGAGACATTACAACTGACACCACAGAAATGGAAAGGATCATGAGACCACTCTGAACAATTATATGCCGACAAATTGGAGAACCTAGAAGAAATGGGTAAATTCATAAAAACATACAACCTACCAAGGCTGAATCATGAAGAACTAGAAAACCTGAATAGATCAGAAATAAGTATGGAGATTGAATTAATAATCAAAAATCCCCCAGACGAAGAAAAGCCCCAAACCAGGTGGTTTTGCTGGTGAATTCGACCAAACATTTCCAGAAGAATTAACACTAGTCCTTCCCAAGCTCTTCCAAAAAGCTCACTCTTGCTGCCATGGGGAGCATGCACAGGAAGCTAGCCACGGAGTGGGGGGTGGGAGTGGGAGTGAGACACGTGCAGCACTGGGGGTACTCGTAGGCCAGTTGGGGGGATCTGTGGGTGAGGCACTGAGCAGCTCGTGAGTGGGCCTCACAATGGCATCTGTGACGTGGTTGTAGGATCCACAACGCTATATGTTCCAAGCCCTGGCTGCTGATCTCTCAGCCGCTCACTGCCCCACTCTGGATTGGGCAAGAGAGAAGTGGCCTCTTCGGCAGCATCCCACACAGGTAGGGAAGCCGGGTGACCACTCACATGCTCTTACTTTCCCCCGTGGGAGAAATCACAGGCTGAGAAGTGTTATCTTGGCACTGAGCTCTGCTGCCTCGGGAGAGGGGTGACATGGGTAAAGTGAAACTGTTCCTCTTACTCTCTCCAACGCATCCAAACTTGGATTTTTTTTTCCTCCAAGTGCGTGCCGGAACTTCTCCACTGGACTCCAGGACTTTCACAAAGGACTTTCTCATCCATGGGTGATTATCGATATCAGTGTTCTGCAGTGGCTTCCAGATCACAGCCAAGAGGGGCTGGAGCCGGTTCACGGGCCGCTTCAGAGTCCAGAGCTGGGGCTGAGGTCTGTATGACTATTACCTGATGCACAGGTAGGAGAGAGTTCTCCTGGCTCCCTTGGCACGTGGTGCTGGATCCCACAGCCCCAACAAAGGCACTTTTGTCCACGGATGGATGCCAAATTATTGTTGTTGAGCGGGGGATAAGAGTCAAGGATGTCTTATTCAGCCATCTTACTGACATCATCCACAATGATTTTAAAGTTTATTCAAAGAGGGTAAAAGTGACATATTACAAAAGGGGAATGTATTGATTAGATTATGCTTTAGCAAGATCACTCTGGCTGAGGAGAGGAGCATGGATAGGGGATGGGTGTGAGTTGGGTGAAAAGAAGAGAAACAGAATGACCAGGCATTCTAGGCTGAGCCAAGGAATTGGGACAGTGTGTAGAGAAAAGGAGATTAATTGAAGACATGTTAACAGGTATAATCGACAAGACTTAGTGATTGTGCAGAGGACAGGAAGGAATCAAGGATGACCCCCAAGATGCTGGGCTGGGAACTTGGGAAACAGGAATTCACACACTGTTCTGTGAGCTAAAGCTTACCAAATGAACAACATTTTTCTGCAGGAAGATGATAAGCTCTGATTTGAACATGTGGAGTTTGAGATGCCTGTAGGTCATCTAAGAAGGAAAGGCCAACAAATAATGGGCTCTATGGATCTGAAGTCAGTAGGGAAATGTGGGCTGGAGAGATGGATTTCATGGTCTTCGTGTGTAGGTGGATAAGTGAAATCATGGGCGGTGATGGATATCTTCGAGAGCGTGTATCTGCCGACAGCCTGGAGCCATCCTTAACAAAACTCCAACACACAAGGGAACAAGCAGACCATGAAAAGACCTCCAATGAGATAGTAAATGAGTAGGAAGAGGTGCAGGAGGAAAAGTGTTGTCTCGTGAAGGCCAAAGGAAGAAGATGTTGCAACAGCAGTGAGTGGTCAGCAGTATGGAACGGGGCTGGGAGAGCGTGGAGGGGAAGAATGACGAGTGTCCCCCAGAATAGTCCAACAGCTGACAATTGGTGATCTTGATAAGAACAACCACAGTGGAGGGAGAGGGCAGGAACTGGATGATAGTGGAGGGTGGGAAGACGAGAGGCCAATTTGGAGAGTCTACAATATTAACATCGCTTCATAGCAATTTGGTATCAAAAGGCAGGAAAGAGGAGAAAAGAGACTTTGAGAGTCATGTTGGATAAAGTGAGGATTTTCATTCCTTTTTTTTTAAATGAGAGATGTGAGCATGTTTAAATAATAAAAGTCAGAGAGAAAGAGGGGTTGAGGATAGAAGAGGTTAATCAGAGATGGCGAAATGGGGGATGGATAGGATGCCCAACACAGGAGGGGAGCCTTTTGACCAGAGGTGTCACACACCTTTCATTCTAGAGAGAGGACAGGGAGGATGAAAGTGTGGCTTTAAGCATGTTGGCAAGTCAGGGAGCTCCCCTCAAATGACTCCTATTCCCCTCTGTGCTGTAGAGAGAGATGTTGTCTACTGAATCCATCTTGGAGAAGCAAAGGGACAAGAAGTCTGGAGAGGGGGAGACAAGGAGACATCAGTAAACCTCAAAGTTCTAGCAGGCATGACTAAGGATCCCTTAGGGGCTGGAGCCAATGTCACTGACCTGTGCCGGTGTGTGGTCTCCAGGCACCTTGCAGTCCAGACACAGACTAAAAGGAACAGACTGCTGGATGCTACCGGAGTCGAGGTTTCCCCTGGCTACAGGGATGGAGGGACCACCAGTGGCTGACACGAAGGAAAAATGAATCTACTTAAAATATTGACCAGAGGGTCATTCAAATGATGCGATTTTCATATTCCAGGCTGGGTAAGTCAGGAAGCGATGGCAGGAGAGGCTGATGGGGAAATAGAGGTGTCTGGAAACA